CACCCCCCCACCCCCGGCGGCGCCGCCGACTACTGCGGCTCAGCCAGAAATATCGGCGAACCGTTACGTGGTGACGGCGGCGGGGCCGTATTCGAATCAGAATCCTGGTCAGCAGTACTACCAGTATCCGGGTTACTACCCCCCTCCGCCGCCGGCGATGCCATTGCCTTTACCGGCACCGTTCGACCACCACCACCGTGGGGCGGCCCAGGCCCAGGCCCACCAGCAGCAGCAGGTGGTGACGGACATGGGCCAGGCCCAAGGGAATTGGGTCGGCGGGAGGTACCCTTGTGGGCCGGCGGCGGCGGCGACGCCGTATGTGGAGCATCAGAAGGCGGTGACGATAAGGAATGATGTTAATCTGAAGAAGGAGAGTCTGAGGATTGAGCCTGATGAGGATAATCCTGGGAAGTTTCTTGTTGCTTTTACTTTTGATGCCACTGTTTCTGGGAGGTAAAAGCCATTTTAAAAAAAAAAAAATTGTTCCTTCTGCATGTTAAAAGTATGAGAATTAGTGCTTTCGCTAGTTTGAATTGAAATTCAAGTTTTTATTACAATATTTTCTAATTCTTTCAACTCTAAGAGCGAAACGAACGACTCTAGTAAGACTAAAAAAATGGTATTTGTGCTGATTTAGACCGTCTCATAATTTTGATGTGATCTGACAATCTTCGTATTTTATGTCCAATTTTGTTTTCAGATTTTAGCGCTTTTTTTTTTTTTCTTCTTTTTGGTAGTAAAATCCTATATGTAGGGTGTTTTTGAGATGTTATTGATTGAGTTGGTTAGGAATTAGGTAAATGTATTAGTATGGTGAAGATTGTTAATTTTGCCATTACTTGATGATTGTCTTGAGACTAGGTTTTAATTAATGGTAGGTGATCTTAGTGTATCTATGTTGAGATTATAGAAAGGAAAAAACTTTATGGTAGTTCATTAAACAAAAATGGCAAAGCAGGAGTGTTTTTTTTTTTTTTAAGTCATTTATGGGATATTTCAATCAGTTTTGTTTTGTTTTGTTTTGTTTTTTTTTTGGGTGGTCTAATGTTTGTTTGTTGTTGATTTGTTTATCCATTGGAACAGCATGACTATCATTTTCTTTGCAAAAGAAGGGGAAGACTGTAACCTGACGCCAATGAAGGAAAATCATATTGCACCCATGACGGTTCATTTCCCGCAAGGTTTGGGACAGAAATTCAGACAGCCGTCTGGAACCGGGGTCGAATTATTGACGTTTGAGGAGACAGAATTGGTGAAAGTGGGGAATATGGACATCTACCCTCTAGCAGTGAAGGCAGAGGCAATCCCAGGTGCCCCAAATGGATCGGATGGAAGCCCTGAATCCGGAGCGATGAACTCTCAGATAACTCTGGCGGTTTTCGAGAAGGAGAAGGGAGAATTTCGGACGAGGGTTGCGAAGCAGATCTTGTGGGTAAATGGAATGAGATATGAGCTGCAAGAGATATACGGAATTGGGAATTCAGTTGAGGGTGATTTGGATGGTAATGACCCTGGAAAAGAATGTGTCATTTGTCTGTCCGAACCTCGGGACACAACTGTTCTTCCATGCCGACACATGGTAATTACACCTTCCCAATGCTTACCCTGTTGTTCCTATGATTATAAAACCTTGAAAAGGTTCAAGGTTACCATTTTAATAAGGCAGTTTATCACTCAAAGATTGCAATTCATAGGTTTTAGTAATACTTTGGGAAACCTTAAAGGCCTTTTGGACATAATATGATGAGGTTGATAAAAGTACTTTGCCAAGTTTGCATAGAAACCAATACATTTCTACTACATTATTTTGAGAAGCCAACTTCTTTTTAAGCATTTTACTTCTGAGAAAAAAGGAAAGGATTTTTTTTTTCTTTTGTTTTTAAAAAAAAATCTAGATGTAGGTGATACAAGAATCTATTGTTGATGTTTTTGTTCTGGTTTCTTTTATTGGTTGCAGTGCATGTGCAGCGGGTGCGCCAAGGTTTTGCGATTTCAGACGAACCGGTGTCCAATATGCCGGCAGCCAGTCGAGCGGCTTTTGGAGATAACGGTCAACAATGGATCCGAGGAATGAAGAAAGACAAGAGTACCGGCAAACAAGCGAGCCCTGTGTATATCCCTGTCGTTGTCTTTTAGTTTTCATCACTTCTCTTACTGCCGTTTTTGCAACTTGTTTTTACACTTGATGTTTCTTTTCTTTTAATAATTTAAAAGGAATTTATACACCATTGGCATGGATAACACGCTCTGCTTTTGCACCACAAAATGTACAAGCAAATGCATTCTTCTGTGCTTGCTTGGAAGGGGTCCTAGTTTTACATTCTTTATGCTTGGTTCTGTAGAAGCTTTTTGTTAAAATTTATAATATTTCCATTAATAGCTTTAGATTTAACAACTATTACTGTAATTGATCACTTAAAGCCAATTAGAATGAGCAGAGAGAATGCAGACAAGGCACAAAATGCCCGGTTTGTCTTTCCCTTCCAGATTTTTTTTTTTAATCACGCGTCGTTATAAGGAGAGTATATTAATATTACACATTGGATTATTTATTGGTAAAAAGTTATTTTTTTTTTCGTTTTTTAAAGTGAAAACTGACCTATATGTAGACAGGAAAAAGTCCCCGTTACCAAATTTACAGATTCTTAATACTTTCTCGTCTGTTCCACGCCTCTCTTTCCAAGTGGCAAAGATGATTAGCATTAAAGGCATTCTATAGATGGTAGCATTATTAACTTTCCAATACTTAAGCTAGAAAATGAATAACTTATTCAGTATCCTAATAATGGTGGACATAAAATATAATCCAAAGATGCCCTGTAAAGTGTAAAGCGTGGGTCTTCTGTCTTTCATGATCCCATATGTCGAATTAACAAAATCTTTATGTGCAAAGAAAGTAAAAGGCAATGGAACTATAAAATACACGCCCACAACAAATATTTTATTATGCAACTCCAAAGTGGATGTTGTTCATTTTAGTAGTTTCAAATGCCCAAATGCAAAAAGCATCTTGAACATTTGATTACATGCAAAAGAAACTTAAGACACAACACAGACACAACAAATGGTTGCTTATTTAAGATAGAATGCCCAACCATAAAGCAACTTAGATGCTCGTCACATCCAAGACACACGAATTAAACAGAAGCAACACAATACACAGTAAAGAAAACCTAATAGTTCACTAGAACAACCGTGGGATTATAGTTGCACTTCACCAAGCACCACTGGGGTTATAGTCTCCCCACCACTGATGGACAAACACACCACTGTGGCGGAGGTCCTTGAGCATGTCCGTGCACTTCACCAGCGTTGCGCCTTCCCCATCTACGTAGCCTGAACAGTGAAGAAACAGCTCGTCGACGTAGCATATCGCTCCACTTTCGAACAGCTCGGAGAGGAATTTCATTTCCACTGTCCCTGCATTCATCTTGAGGACCACAAAATCTGCGTACTGCACAGTTTCTTTGAACCAAGCAAGGAAATCGAAACCCGTATTTCCCAAATATGGCTCCAAATCTCCATCAGTGCTGACATTAGCCTCGGTTGCAGAGAGGCCAGGATGATAAACAAAGGTGATACCAGGCTTCTTAACGTAGGACAGCAAAACAGAAGTGTTGTGGTCAACAAAATAAACATTAAAAGCTTTGCTGTCAATAGGGTAGGAAGGGAGGAACCAATTTGTAACATTGGGGTTCAGGTGCTTCCCTGCCCCAATATCAACATAGACAAGCCGCTTCTTTGAAGAAGCATCCACAAACTTGGGCAGATAAGAAAAACTTTTCTCGAAATCCTTTGGCTGGTCCTCCACAAGAGGCTCCATGTGCTCTATGAAAGGTCTATTCGTTGTCAGAGATGGACAGTCTGCTGGCAGACGGTATTGCTCAAAGTATCCGGTGTTTTCAATCCTTTTCCTGAACGCAACCAAAGTGAGGTTGTTGATATGATTAACGTGCACTATACCAGAAGTTTTGAGCACTGAAGATATAGGCGTGGCAGATCTAATGAGACTATTCGGAGTCGAACCACTGGTGCCCAAAAGCACAGCCCCAATCCCGCCGGGGCTAAGAACGCGCTCGATCTCAAGCACAAGAAGCGCAGGAGCAGAAACCATATCCAGATCTCTCGAGAACACAAAATCAAACGATTTCTCCTCGTAATCAATCTCATACACAAATTGCCTGCGCCTGAACGAGAAAAATCGCTGCTCGTCAACATCATAAGCCTCAGAGAACCCCAAATCTCGCAACGCCTTGGCGGCCACAGCCGACCCTTCTCCAATGCAGAGAGCCTTCGCGCCAGCGGGGTTCAAGAATTGCTTCCCCATCAGCTCTCTGACTACGTCAGTGGTCAAATTCACATATTCCTTGCACTGCATCGGCTCAATGGAACTCCAAATGGGATTCAGATGACGACCCTGAAACACATACCAACTCGGAGTGAAGTTGGTGGTTGACTGGCCCAGATGCACGGCGCAGTCGCCGGACATTATAGGGGCGAGCATTTTCAGGTACGGCCCAGACAAAATGTGCACCAAGGGAATTACGGACAGAGCCGCGGCGATCAAGAAGGTGCGTATGAGCACGCGCCTCGCTACAGATCCGTGAAGGATTTGAAACTTGGGCGTCTTCGAATCCATGACTCTCTTCTCACAATCTCACTCGTGATCTGAGTAAGCGGAGAGCAAATTTTCTAAACTTTTCAGTTTATTTCTTTTCCTTTCTACAACTAGATTCTGGAAATCGAAATCTTTCTAGAGAGAGAAACAAGCCAAATCGGAAAACGAGATGAGAGAGATTATCGAGTGCAAAACCTGGACGAAGTGTGATTCCCACCCACGAGGACACCCATAGACTTTTGAAACCCTAACCAGACCCTCCTCGGAATCCTTCTCAGCGACGGTTCGTACCAGGTCCGATCCATATCTGACTGCTACCAAATCAAATCTCTGTTCTTGCGAAAAATCTACATTACATTCTTGAAGAACACGATATTTCCCTCGCTCGATTTGGAAATGAAACCCTAGATTTGGTTTGAAGCAGAGAGAGATTTGGGATATTAGGGATAAAAGTCTTAATTTCAGTGAAGTGGGAGGGCAGTGGAGTGAGAAATTTCTGACCTTATATAGCGGATAGACCACCGACACTTTTGACACGTGGCGAGATGTGAAAGCTTCTTAAGTTCTTAACCTTAAGCACGTCTTTTGGTATAAAAAAGTGTGCCAAACTTACTGATTAATAATGGTGGTGCTAAGAGAAAGATTCCAAATTAACTACTGTAATTTAGAAACACAATAGCACTCTTTTTCTGTTATTTTTTTTATTATGTTTTGTATCTAAATAGAAAATAAGATAATAAAATTTACGTATAGAATAATTAATGTAGAAAATGATAAAAAAAAAATGAAGATAGTATTTTTTTATTATTTATTCAGATTTATTGTCTCACTCTTTTTGTCTTGGTAACTGTCTCTCTAATTGAATTTTGACACTGTTAATTATTTAAATATTTTAAATATTTTGTTTTTATTTGTGTGATTAGATTTCTAAAATAGATATTATAACAAATAAGTAGCAAAGATACAACCACCAAAATAAAATAAAAAATGAGGACAATAGATCTAGACTTGCTTAGAGATGGGTTTGCTTTTCTAAATTTTAGGATAATTGGCACGGAATATCCCTAACCTCTTTAGTAGGTGATAGTTTGGTCCATATTCTTTTAATTTTGGTAAAATGATCCCCAACGTCATTAAATATCTACAATGATGTTTGGTTCATGGATTCAGAACCATTATCGTTTACGTGTGTTTTTTTTTAGAGAAAATACTATAGCGAGCTACGAATCATAATTCGAATCATAGCACGAATCCTCCTTTCAAACGTCCCCCTTTCATTTCCGTCTAGATCCATCAAATTACTTAAGTTAAAACCCTTGAAAATACAAAATTGTCCTAAACCCAATAATCAAAAGTTAGGGTTTTCTAAAAATGGGGCTTCTTCATGAGAAATTAGGAGAGCGTTTACTTTGGATGATTCGCCCTCCATTGACACCAGATTTAGCTTGCATTGACGACGGGCGATATTGGGTTGGTGGGAAGATGGTTGTTCGGCGAGTTAAAAGGAGCTGGAACCAAATTGACAAAAAACAAAAAACAAAAACAACAAATCACCATAAAATAACCTAAAAATAAAAAACTGACCACCAAAATCTGATATAAATCACCAGAAAATCACCGATAATCTCAAACTATAAAATTGATTTGAAATTAACAAATAATTAAAACAGAATCACCAAATGGTTTGGAACTCCATTTAAAAAAATCTGGTGTGAAACACGAGAAAATCACCTTCAAATAACGATAAAATCACCAAAAATATGAAACTATAAAACTGATTCAAAATTAACGATAAATTAAACAAAATAAACAGTTAAAAAACCGTAAATTGAAATTCTGTCAACAAAAACAAAAGCTGTAACAAGAACTGATCATCAAATTTGTATTGCTTACCACTAATGGATACTATATTACAAAATATCAAGGCAAATTCAACATAATTTCTACATTAAATTCCTACATCACTACACCTTTAGTTTACAAACAAACACTACGATTACAAAAATGAAGAACAAAACCCACTTCCACGTGCTGCTCCCACTGGAATTAAGAGATGGAGAACAAATTTCATACACAAAATTAAAAATTTCAGATTTCAAACAACTATTTTAATGAAAATCAAAACGTGCCACATATAAATGGTACCTATAAAATCTGCGTTCAGAATTGAAGTCTGTCCAAAAAGTGATTACCTTTGTGGGTTTCGGATTCTCATAGTCACACAAAGAGATTTCTTCCATTATAGCCCTAATTTGAAAAAAAAAAGTTCAAGAATGAAGAACTCTAATTTTTTTCACGTTTTTTTTAAAGAATATCAGCCTCCAATTAAATAAACTCATGATTTTACGTAAATAATCCTTGTAATCAAGTTACGTGAGGGGCTACATGGGTTTTAACTTTTAACGTGGGTAATTTAACGTATTGAAACGAAAAATACTTAATTACACTTATTTAATGACGTTAAGGACTATTTTGTTAAATTTAAAAGAATAAAAATTAAATTGTCAAGAGGTCAAGATCATTTGTACTAATTATCTTAAGTTTTATTTTAAGAAAAGCATTGTTCGTACTGGGCAGCCTGGAGGTATCCTTAAAAAAATTATTTATTTATATTGTTTTACTTTTTTTAATAGCTTTTTCTTGAGAAAAATTTTTAATAGCTTTAACCGCATTAATTATTCCCCTAAAAAAACAAGCCCACCATTAAGCATTGATGGCAACCGCTGAGAGTTCCATCTTATGGGCTACCATGTATCCATTATTGGACCTGCCCAAATAATTCAATACAAAAATTTTAAATTATGAGAAAAGGAGATACTTTTAGAGTTGATAGGCGATGAATTTTATCATCTATTCTTAATTAACATATTTTAATCAAAGTATTATATTAGCCAATTAATTAAGAAAAAAATGATAAAAATTTAGATTCAATGCATTTTAAAAAGACAAATTCAGTGGACATTTAGTTAATAGATTCAAAATTATGATTCAGAATTATTCTCAATTTACGTGTATTTTTTATGAGAGAAAATATTGTAACGAATCACGAACTATAATTCAAATTATGATACAAATTTATCTAGGGGTGGCAATTCGTGTCACGTGTCGTATTCGTGTCGTGTTTTAATCATTTCTTTCTAAATTTACAGTCAACCCGAACACGACCCGTGACACGAAATTTTTTAAAAACCGTAACACGAATACGACACAACCACTTTACGAGTTGACACGACCCGACCTGAAAATGACCCGTGACACGAAATTGACCCCTGAACTCGAAATTGACACAAAAATTGTATACTTTTATTTATTTTTTTTCATATTAAAAATAACTTAAAATTCATAATACACTAAATTACAATAACATCCATTGAAATTAAGCCAATAATAGTATAAGATTTTGAGTATAACTATCATGATATCACAAGTTCATAATAAAATTTAAAATATGCAATGAAAAATATATGTAATTTTTAGTTTTTTACGAGTTTCGTGTCGTGTTCGGGTTAGGTGGGTCCAACCCGAAATTGACCCATGTTTTTCGTGTCAATTTCAGGTCGACCCAATTATGATCCGAATATCTTTTTTCTCAACCCTAACCTGTAAAATTTGTGTCATTTTTAAGTTGTGTCGTCGTGTCGTGATCCATGTTGCCGGCCCTAAATTTACCGACCAAATAATTCACTCGACAATAATTGAAATAAATTGGTACGAGCAATCACGTCCAATTACAGCTGTCCACTTGTCTACCCTACATTGACTCACCGTACGACCCATAGTATTAGTGATGGCCATCATTTCAAGCAAAACAATGTCTCTACCAATGCCGTAGAGATGATTGTTATTTGGTAGTATTTAATATTTTTATAAGTGTTAATTCTACACATAATTTATGAGGTTTAGACCCAATTTCATTTTAGTTTTGACTTTTTAAACGTCATATAATGATGGAGTTTTAGAGGGCCACATGACGTTTCGTCTTAGGAAAAACATTTAAGGGTGTTCTAATATAACAAGGCTAAAAAGTTGATACTTACGGTTGGAATTAATTTCTTAACGACGGTTTTAAACAATATAATATAGGTTAATTTACAACATTTATAAGATGCTAAATGTTCAAGCAACATAAAACTAGATATCTAAACCATGGTAACTTTAGGTTGCTAAAATGAAAATAAGCACATACGTTACATAAAAATTATCTGTTAAAATTATGGTCATCTTAACGTACCATCATCACTCTGCCACATGACCACCCCAACTGACTAAAATGACCCCTTTAATATTTACCCCAACTAATTATTTTATATATATTTTTCTTTATCTCGCCCTTCTTAAAATTTTCCATTATGACATTTATATATGAACTGTTTAAAAATATATATTGAAAGTTTAATTTTTGAGTATCTCATATTTCAAACACAAATAGCTAAATAAATCAATAATCAATGATTCTCTTGTATAAGTTCACAATTTGTAGATTGCAGACGTTAAAAAGTGAATTCAATTTAATTAGAAGATCAATTCATTTAAATTAACAAAATATAAAAGTAATAAAATAAAATAAAAATTGTACCATTTTAATTTTAAACTTTGGTTTCACTCATTGAAAAAATTGTCTCCGCCAATGTCTACCATTAACTACTAATTACTACACTCAAACATCGTAACAGCCCCGTTTATTTCGTTGATTTGAGTTTAGAATTCGAGTTTTGCTACAGTAAAAAGCTCTCACAAACAATCACATCTAACTTTTTTGCTACAGTAAAAAGCTCTCACATAAAATTACATCTCAATTCGAATTAAAAACTCAAATTAGCGAACTAAATGAGCCCTTTATATCTAAACGGTAAAGTAATACCGACTGCGCGTTTTGTTGGTACTTCGAACGTGTTAGGGTTTGATTACAATAACCAAATAACATTATGAGTAGTAATAGTTTTGAAACACATAAACTAATACCGAGTGCTTGAATTTCGTTTATACTTTGAACTTGTTAGGGTTCGATTACAATAACCAATCAACACATTATGGGTGGTAACGGTTTTGATATACATAAACTAATACCGAGTTCCATATCTCTTATTTTCAAATGAATTAGAATGCTTTTTTTAATATTATTTTTCTTTGTAAAAATATCACTGAGAGTCTATTTAAAGAAGCTTCAATTTTATCATTAGAAAATATTTGTTTATTTAGAGTTCACAATTTAGGTTTTTTTAAGATTTTTTTTTAAATTAGTCCTTTTAAAAAATCTTTATTCAATAAAATTGGTATCCTTCAATACATATGGAATAATTTATAGGACGATTCTCTATTATACAAATAATAATCCACATAATTGGCCTTGCTGCCTTTCTTCCTTTATAGTGTTTGAACTAAGCGTTACATGCTATAAGATTTATCTTCTAATATACTACATTCTCCATCTAATGTTGTTCACTCATCTTATTTTCGTGTGCTCCC